GATCCCTAGTTTCTCCATGTGAAAATAATGGGGCAGAATCGCCCGACCTTCCTGGGGAGCGTTCCAAAGATAAGGGAGGCCTTAGTGAATTGAGTTTATCAGGAAAGGAACTTGAATGGTAGGCCTCTCAGAATACCAGGACTGTGATCCCAGGAGTCATATGGGGCCATGAGGGGCAGAGGAGGGTGTCAACAAGGCATTGCTCTGACCAGATCTGGCATTGTTCCTCCCCTTATTGGGGCAGCAGAGGGACGTGTGGACCCTGTGTCATTCCTTTAGGACAAGTGGACTCTGTGTCACTCCTTTAGGACCTAGGAAAGGACAGGACATTGAGAGTCATAGTCTAACTGTGTGGGAGTCCCCACACCAGACCCCTGCTGGAGTTCTTGGCCTAGACTGTGGAATGATGGGTGAGTCACTACTTCCCACTGCTGTCTATGGCTGGCTAGAAGCTCTCTTTAATAGGGATTCTCCCTCAAGCTGGAGTGAGTTCTCCACAGTTCCATCAGTTTCCTTGGACTCGGAGGGGCTTCTGTCCATGGGGCTGCAGGAAGGCAATCATACCACAGACCAGCAAACACCTGGAATGAAGGAAGGTCATCCAGCCGCTGTCCTGTCCCTGTTTGGCCGTTTTCCCCGTGCTCAGCGTTCACTGTGAATCTTCTCTACTGTCCTAGCTCCCTTTCTGTCCATCTCCCCAGGCAGAAGCCTGGGCTCTTACTTCCTCTTTTCTGGAGGATTCTGGGACTAAGGCCGCCTCAGATCCTTGGGCCACTCTACTTGTCTAGGTGTCCCCATCCTCTCATCTTCCCTGCCACTCCGGATATGGAGCAGTCCCTCTTCCTGTCTGGCAGCCTGCCCTGAGCCCTGAAGCCATCCCTGCCATCTTCTCTCATGGATCCTTCTCCATGGAGAATGCCTCTGTCCTATAATTGCAACCTCTACCTTCACTACCTTTCCACTTTAGCCTTGAAACCTACCAGAGCACTCCCATTGTAAAAATAAGTCAACAAACACATAAGGAACCCCAGCCCTGCTGAGACCTGGTGATTCCTTTGGCTCTGGCCCGACACTCCTTTTTCCTGGAAGCCAAGCTTCTGAGCAACAGACTGTACACGCTTCATCTCGTGCCTCTACACTTCACCTTCTGTTCACGTTAGACCTTGCCAAGGCCATTGCTGACATCCTTGATGCCATGTCCAGGGGATACCCTCGGTCCTTCTCTTGCCTGACATTCTGCAGCCTTTGGACTGGTGATCATAGCTGCTTTCTTTGTTCACACCTTTGACTTCAAAGACCCCATCTTCTGGGGTTCTGCCCACCGTCTAGCTTCTCACCTCCTGTTTTTCACTGACAAGGTCTCCATTATTACTGCACTTGGCTTTCTCCTTTTAGTGGGTGAGGCCATCCATTGGGTGGCCATCTATATGCCAAGAACTCTTACATCTCTTTCTAGCCTGGGTCTCTTTCCCAAGCACCAGGCCTATGTGCCCAATTGCCCACTAGACATCTTTCCTTGGCTATCTTTGAAGATCATCATCTTTTCCCCACGGTTTTCTTTATTAGTTGGACTCAGGCAATGGCCCTTCCTTTATTTCCTCTGCCCCTTCCTCTGTTTCCTGCTCTGTTGTGTGATTGCTTCTTGCAGTTCTAAGAGTCTGAGGGATGGAAGGAGACAGACCTGTTCTGATGACCTCTGCTCCCTGCTTCCTGGCACGAGCACTGCTGGCGTGACTGGGATCAGAGAGCTAGATGGAAGCAGGGACACCAGTAGCAGCTGTGTCTGTAATCCAGGCAAGAGATGGTACTGGCCTAGACTAGAGCGTTCATACCCAGAAAGGAAGGGGCAGGTTGGACATGTGCGGGTAAGACCTGACTGGATGAGAGTAGGAGATGAAGGAGTATGGAGCAGAGGGTCGCAGATCTCTGGTGTGGGTGATGCTTGTTGGAGGTGACATTTCCTACACAGACCCTGGCTGAATCTGGGACAGATCTGGGGTTCTGGTTCCTTGTGAATAGGAGTAGGCCTTGGGGGTAAGGGGTACGTGCATGTGTGCGATGTACATGTACCTGCACTGTATGGGTAGGGTGTGTGTGTGTGTGTGTGTGTGTGTGCCTGCCTGTGTTTGCCACACTAGAGAGTGGGAATGATCAAGGAGGGGCTCTTACCCCATAGTCCTCAGAGACATTTCCCAAGAGCTTGTCTCCTGCTGGCAGCCCACCCACTTGGGAGCACAAAGCTCTTTCTAGCTGACTGCTGCCTGTGTGTTAGCTGAGACAAGGGCTGTACATCTCAATTTTTATCATATGAAAATGAAATAAAGCGTGCAAGAATAGACCCCAAAGAGACAACAGTGAGGAGATGAAGGCTTCTTTGCTGCAGGGACCCTTCGTCCCCTGCGCACCTCCCAGAAGAGCGAACTCTGTGGAGACATCAGCACTCTCTCTTTGGGGGGCCTTCAAAGAGGGTGGTTCTTACATTTTAAAACACAAGGGGAGTTAAACGCACGACAGCGACAGCAGCAGCTTGGAAATACATCTCGTGCTGCCAGCCCGCGCTGCCCCCGCCGGCACAGGCCTGCCTTGATGTTGCTGCCTTGACTAGACAGAAGATGTTTTCCTTCTCAATTAGGAAAAACTCACAGCTTCACACTCACAGGGGAGGCGGCAGCGCTGGAATTAGCACAGGGAGAGGGAAGGGGAGGTGACAACAGCAACAAATGTCTCCCTTATCTTGGTTTCAGCCCCTGGCTGGCCCAGAGGAACATTCTGGTTTCCCTTTCGGGTCTTGCCCTTCCTCCCTCCCCTCCACTCATTCACACAATAAACTTGAACTGGAGCTGCTTCCTACTCTGCCAGGCTAGGTGGTAGAGCTGAGGTCACAAGAATAAAGTGCAGGCCCTGCCCTGGGGGAGCTCAGAGCTATTCGAAGAGACTGGTGGAAAAATAGATAAACCCAGAAGTCAGCAGGGCATTTCCTGCAGCTAAAGATCCAGGTCAGGTAGATTCACAACCCCCATTCAACAGACTGTGCTCAAAAAGCCGCCCAGGGTTCCACAAAGTTCCCGGAGCGCTTTGCACATATTGAGGTTAGGAGCACAGATGGGAGTCAGACTAAGGTAGGATGGAAAAAATAAAGATAGGTAGAAAGGAGACAAGGAAAACTATAATAGTAAAATTGTACTTTTTAAGAAAAACTGCAGTTTTGAGACACAAAGGGTATTTAAATGTGGTTCCCCTCCCCGCAGTCCCTTCCAGGAAAAGTTCCTAAAGGTCTTAAAGACAGAAGCTTGAAGACTGGGCTGTGGGCCTGCGCCTTTCCCCTGTAAATTGTGTTCCGTCCTCCCAACCCCCATCCTCAGGAAATACACTAACAGTGTAGCTCAGCTTCAAACACATGCAAATGGTTTGTATTTTAATAGAGCCCACCGAAGGCACAAACTCAGCAAACCCTGCAACCTACATTCTAGATAACCTTTTAAAGGGACACCTCCACATACCCCCTCCAAGGGGTCTCTCTCCTGCGTAAGCACCTGCACTTTGAGTGTGTTCCTTAATATTCTCCCTAACAAACCTTTCTATGCCTCTTACTGATGTTTCTGAGAATTCTGCTTCTGTGGTGAGGGTCAGTGATCCTGCAATCTGCCCCGTGGGTGGAGTGACTCAAGGTTCTCATCCCTGCTTTGGAGGGGGCTCCTCAGACCCGTCAGGGGACAAGACTGCTTGGGTTCAAATCCCAGCTCTACCCCTGGCTAGAGCAGCTGCCGTTACCCATCTGCTCTGTGCCTGTAGAAGGAGATAATTCTGCCGACTTTCTGGGGTTGTTGTGAGAGTTAAATGAGTCTGTTTCTGCGCAGCGCTTATAGCAGAGCTGGGCACATGGTAAGCACTCTGAAAGATTAGCTCTTATCCTCATTGTCATTTCTAGCCCCGAGCCCCTGCTTGCATTGAATTAATTCAGTTTATGCATCTTCTTACCCCCTGCTGGTGTTGTCAGTGTCAACCCCAGTCAGTTCAGACATGGACCTCGATCCTTTTCTTTATGTTCCATTTTAAAAAATCGGCCTCACCCCTAAAACAAAGCATGGCTGGGCACACAAAGTCTCTGTGGGTAGCAGACATTTCCAAAGGATGGGGAGAAGAAGGGATTTATAGATTGCAGGAACGCCAGCAGTGTAAAAGCCCAGTCTTTGATATTTTCATTCCTAAAAGCTCCTCAGCCATTTCCAACACCTGAGCTTCAACCTCCTCTTACATTGTTTTATTATTTCCCCACTTGCTCCTCCCGCCTCCAATTTCCACTTGTTTCTCAAGCAGACAGTTTAGCGATCTCTTTGGCTTTCTTGTCTCTTGTCAAATCGTACCCTCAGGATGTTACTTCCCCCCAGTGCCTTATCAAGGTATTTTCTTATACAAAGACATTTGCTTCCCTAAGAGGAATTCAGTTGTCAGATGTTGTATCAGTCAGCATCCAGCCAGGAAAAGAGAAACCTCTCTAAACACTTAGGACAGAGGGATTTAAAGCAGGGCCTTGGTTGCAGGTGATGGAAGGCTGGGGAATCAAATAGCATGGCTATTCCTGTAGATAATATACTGGAATAGTATACTGAAATATGTCACCGACTGTATCCATCCCATCGGCCCCTCCTTTCTGGCACTCCCCACCTGCCCCTGGATCCAGGAACTAGAGGGTTAATGCCAGCCACAGCAGGAAGCCTCCAGCATTTGTCTCTAGGGCATCTTTCTCATTGGTAACTATTTGGAATATCACCCCCAGTTGGGACAAAAGAAGCAGCAAGTGGAAGAAAAGGCAGGACCGGATGTGGTAACCTCGGAGGAGGAGAAGATGGTGATCCTGGAGGCGGGAGGTGGGAGGAGGCTGTGTGGGCAACCTTCCAGCGGAAACATGGGGCCATCTGGCCTGGTTTGCTTCTCAGGAGGCAGCACACTGTCCCTGTCAGGGAGGAGACTTGGTGGGACCTTGCTCTGTCTTTTCACAGATGGAGAACTTGGGGCCAACAAGAAGAGTTTTGCCTACAGTCACAGAGCAAGAAAGCAGCAGAGCCGACGTTCTCAAAGCCCCACCCCTAGACTGTAATTGCAGAGCACCTCCGAGTCAGAGTCAGGAAGAGGAGAGGAGAGGCAGGACGAGGGTGCCAGAGCTTGCTGGAGGGAGATGGCAGAAACTAATGAGTTCCCTGCAGGACACAACAAAGCTAGAGGAGGCCTTGGAGAGACTGCAAAGGGGAGCTACAACGGAGCAGTCAAGGACATATAGTCTCACTTCTGTGACAGAGTGGGCGAGAGGTAATTAATGGTGGTGAGAAGCACCAACAGGGTGGCAGTGGGGGTAGAGCAACCAACCCTCTCAAAACCAACCTTACAGGAGGGCTTTCGTCCCTGCCTGGTGACCTCAGCACATCTGATGCACACGCAGCCAGCTAGAACTAAAGGATGTCCTTTGCAGATGAAACAGCCAGTCTTGGATCTGTCTGTGTCTGTCTGGTTCTTGCTGAAAAGTAACAGATATGACAGCTGGGTAACGGAAGCAAAAGATGCATTGACCAGGAGTCTCTGTGGTTGTCCCAGACTGAGGAGGAGACACCAGGACTAGCCTTAGGGACAGGCCAGAGCTCTAAGCTGGTGACTCAGGTGGGTCAGGTGAATAGAAGGTGTCAGCGTTGGCACAGGGTAGGGCCATGCACCTGCAGCCAGGATCCACTTCCCACCTTGCCCTCCGCCTGGTGTCCTTCCATGAGTCCTGTGGGAGGGGAGCTGGGGTCAGAAGGAAGAAAACCTCCAATTTCAGATCAGCAGGGAATCGCCTGGGATTCTCTTCTCACACAGTATGAGACAATACTTGGCCGAGGAGAGGGAACCCCTCACCATCTCTCCTTCACCGCTAATCTAGGAGATATTAAAAATGGTGCTTGGGGAATCAATTCCCCAACAAATACCCACTGACTGGGGCTTTTGGCTCCCGTGGTTCCCTGGGGATTCTTCTTCTGCACTGTGCTCTTGTCCGGGTCCCATGCGGTCTCCTTGCTCCCTCGGGCTGTCTCAGGAATACATTTTTCATTTAAGCTGCTGCAATATCTGCTCAGCCGATCATACCTCTTTCTCTCTCCACTTCTCTGTGGCAGCGCTTTGCTGTTCACTCTGCAGCCGGGATATATTTAAAAGAGAAAAACTTTAAATTAAGTTTGGGAGAGTTTCAAATGAAAGAAAACAAACCTTCACCATTACCGCAGGTAAGAAGAGGGCTCTGGCTGCTGGGGGAAAATCGCAAGCTGCCCTTCATTTTGGGTCAAGATGACATTAAAGCTCTTCTTTGCTCTCCTGTTTCCCACCACCCCACCACCCGTGTGCCAGGTTAATGGAATAGGAAGCATCAGCGCAGTTCCATGAGGACGGGGTGGGCTTCATGTGAATGTAGAGGGTTAGCTCATGGGCTCTGTGGGGTGACAGGAAGGGGGCTCCTAGCTCTAGGGTTATTACATTCTACCAGTGTCCTAAGCCTCTCTTCAGGAAGAGCACTGATGTGGAAGGAAGGAAGGAAGGAAGGAAGGAAGGAAGGAAGGAAGGAAGGAAGGAAGGAAATGAACTCAGCTTACCCCTGTAGGCTCCTAATGTGGGAGAGGAGTGGCTCTCCTGGTCCCAAGAGTCTCCTGGGATGACTGAGTGTCCAATGAGGTCCTCTTGTATGCTTGATGCCTCCACCCAGATTGTATGGTTTGCTCCTTTGCTCCCTCTGCCATTGCCACCTTCTCTGAGGGTGCACTGGAATGGAAGCAAAGGACACTTCCCAGTCAGCCACTGTGCAGCAGTATGGAGCTGCACCATGCTGGAGATAGGAATTTCAAGTCTCTTACTATTTCATCTTCCTTCCCGTAGTGTTAGGCTCTTGGGAATCCAGAGGTCTCAGGCTTGTCCCTGCCTTTGCAGAGCATCCTAGGAGGTGGGGCAGGTGGAGACTGCCCTTGCACAGGTGCCAGCCCTTCCCAGGGTGGTGAGAGGTGGGTAGGTAGCTGGTCTTGCTCTAGGTATTGCAGTGAACCTTCCTTCCTTTTCTTTCCTTGCCCATGATGGCAGTGTGGGAGCAGGGACTCAAAGGTACAGCTTTAGGGGAAGGTGCCAAGGAAGTAGCTGGGCCAGTGGGCTCCTGTGAGTCTCAGGTGCACCCGGGGTGCAGACTGGGCCTCCTGAGCTCCCCCTGCTTTTACTGGGCCTCAGACAACAGCTACAGGCTGGGGCTTGAAAGCACCCTTTTGTTCCTCTTGCCCAGTCTGTGGCAGCTGCTGGCTTCTTGGGGTCCCTGCCATCTGCCTGAAACATTAGGTCCTACTGCACTTACTAGGGGCCAAGTCAATACTACAAGTCCCACTGACATTATTTCTCTATTTTTATTGCGGTAAAATGCACATAATATAATTTTATCATTCTAACTGTGTTTAAGTGTACAATTCAGAGTCTAAATACATTCATATAATTGTGTGACTGTCACTACTATCAAGTCACACATCTTCATTCCATACTCATTGAGCTGTTGGTCCTCACTCTCTCTCTGCCCTCTCGCTCCAGAAACTCCTAGTACGCTTTCCATGTCTGTGGGTTTGCCTGTTCCAGATATTTCATAGGAAACAGGTTGTACACTCTGTGGCCTTTTGTGCCTGGCTTCTTTCCCTTTGTCATGTTTTTAAGGATCATTCATGGGACCGTACTTCATGCCTTTTTAAAGGTGGAATAATCATGCACCAATAAAATAAAATTTAAAGATAAAGGTTTAAAAATATGCTGTTGCATGGATGTACTGCATTTTGTTTATCCATTCATTTGATAGATGTTTGGGTTGTATACACCACATAGCTATTGTGAATAGTGCCGCTATGAACTTTACTTACAAGGTTTTGTGTGGACACTGTTTTCAGTCCTTTTGGCACAAACCTCGAAGTGGGATTGTTGAGTCATCTGCCGCGTCTTTACTTTTTGAGGAACTGCCCAACTGTATTCCAGTGTGACTGCACCACCTTTCATTCTCTCTAGCAATGTAGATTTTTGGGTTCTGGAGATAGAACCCAGGGCTTTCACACTGAGCTACCTTTATAGCCCTTTTAAATTTTTTTTTCTCATTAAGTCACTAAGTTGTCCAGATTAGGCTTGAACTTGTGATTCTCCTGTCTCAGCCTCCCAGCGTGCTAAGATTACAGGTGTGCACTACCATACCTGGCTGATTCTTCCTGTTCTTGTCAACAATTTTTCAGTCTTTAAAAAAGTTACTAGAGCAGTCTCAGTGGGTAAGAAGTAACTTGTGGCTTCCCTCACAATAATCCTGTGAACCAAGCATTTTACTCCACTTTGAAATGATAAAATGGAGATGAGGAGACTGAGAACAAGGTACACACTATGGCATTTTCATACACAGACTCACCTTTGATTTCTCAGGTAGTGTGGTGATGGAAATGAACACAGCCCCTCTGGGAAGTATGTGAAGCTTCGTCTAAGTCTTGTGAATACAAGGCTGGCAGGCAAACATGAGATGTAGCAAGACACATTGGTGTGTTTTGTATGCACATGTGTATGTGTATATATGTGCATGCATGCCCAGTGCAGAGCAGGCTCCCTGGGTGCTCAGATGGCACCTGCAGGATTCACATCTGCTGCACGGATAGGTGTCCATTGGGCAGGCAGGACCCATCTTTTTTCTTTGGTACCAGGAATCCAGCCCAGGGCCCCGTGCTTGCTAGGTAGATGCTGTACCACTGAGCCACACCCCGGCCCCAGGACCAGTCTTTAACAGGAGCCTCCTGTCTGATCTTCCCATGGCTTCTGAATGTGGGGGTGGGATGAGGGTTGAGGGTTGGAGATGGAGCCACTGGCCTTGCCCATTAAGATTGGTGGGCACCTAAATAATCGGAAACACCAATAGATGTGCCCGCATCTGAACCTCACCTGCTGAGCCAGTGTGGGGAGAGGCATGTTAAGTACTTATAGATGCGTCACCCAAGTAGAGGCTAGTTACAAGCCTTCAGGGCCAGTGGGAAAGGTGAGGCCAAGCATGGCATGGAGATTGTAACCCAGATTTTTCCCTGGTCCAGTCCCATGCGTTCCTGTGGGAGGGAAAAAACTTAAGAAAAAATAAAAAGCAATTTGATTTAAAAAGAAAACAAACCCTTGGGCATTATTGGCAGCATTCCTTTGACCTTCCCCCAAGAAGGAGTATGACCTACCTGCCTGGCCCTGTCCCCTTCCTCTGGGGGCTTCTTGTTTCCTATTCCACCACCATGCTTCCCACGGGAGTTGTCGATTTACAGTATTCCCCCAGTCACTAAACAGGCACTCGACCAGGTCCAGCTAATGGAACTGCCCCTGAGACTACTAAATTGGGCCTACGGGGAGAGAGTCAACTCTTCTGACTCCAGCACATCAAGAGAAGCCAAGGTGAGAGATAGGGTGGGGGAAAGTTTGGAGGGCATTCAAATTCCTCACTCTGGTCACTTGTGCAATCCAAGTACCCCCACCCCCTTTACTTCTTGGTTTGGTCACTGCATGGACTAATGAACTCTTCTTTTCATCTAGGTGCTTCAAGTTGGAATTCTAGAATTGGAGGTCCTGCATAAGCCACGGCACTGGATGATTCCACTGCGCTGACAGTGAATGAGCTTGGCTGGGCATTTTGGAAGCCTTATGGGACGGAGGGTGCCTGCTGAGAGTGCCTGTGCCCAGAAGAGGAACAGCAGAGATGCCTGTAGAGAAGGCGGCACTGAGGAAGGCAAGCAGCACCTGGCGGAATTCGCAGAGAGCTGGGGGCAGCTGGAGGGCGCCATATATATCACCTAATCAGCCAGTCTTACTTGTGAAATACCTCATACAATAATTAATGCACTCTTTCTATTGCCACTTGACTTTACACCTTGGGCACTTCAAAGTAAACGCAATTTGAGAATGTGATTTTTAACGACCTTGTATCGTTCCATCATGTGAATCTAATATAATCTACTCAACAATCTCCTAGTGTTGTGAATTATAAATTAATTGTCTTTATTTTGTTGTGGTTTTTATTTTTTGTTATTGTGTACTATACTGCTAGGAACCTACTTGGAAATACATCTTTGAGAACATCTCTAATTATATTCTTAGGAGAAATTGTTATAAATAGAATAGTCTTATTAAAGGGTATGGACATTTTAAAGCTTTTGATCCACATAAATAAATCGCCGTACTGAATGTTTGTGACAAGTCATACTTCCCACCACAGGATAAGAGTTTCCTTCCTTTTGAATCGTTACCAGGCTTAAGTACTATGATTTTTTAAAAGCCTGGCTAAAGTGACAGACAAAATATACATCTCATTGTTTTAATTTGAATTCTTTTTATTACTACTGATGCTGAATTTTTACTATATTTATTGACTATTTGTAGTTTTCTGTTGTAAATTTCTTATTTATGTCCTCTGTTCATTTCTCTAATCAGCTTTTCAGATTTTCTTATTGATTTGTTAGAGTTATTCACCTTGCCTGTCATATGTTAAAAATACTATTTCCTAGTTTTCTAGTCTGTTTGATTTTTAATTTTGTTTATGATATTTTGATTTACATAATGGCTTACATTTTATGTTTTCAGATTTGTCATTCTTTTCCGTTGTGCTTTCTTTGTAAAAAAAAAAAAATAGTGCATAGAAATAACTTCTTCACTTTAAAGTCAGATATTCACTCATAATTTTGTCCTGTTCTTTTAAGATTTAGTAGTTTGAACTTCCTCATTTATCTAGGATTTATTGATGAAGATGAGATAGGAAGCTCACCTCTCAAAAAATAGTCAATTATTTGCCTCAATATTGTGTTAAATAATCCATTATTTTACCACGTATTTGAAAGATCCACTGAATTGTTTAAGTACTGAGATCTGATTGGGGGTTTTTGATCAGTTCCTCTGGTCTGCAGTCTGCTCTCCACATTCATGGCTTCTGTAGTGTGGATTTAACCAACCATGGATTGAAAATACTACCCTAAAAAGCATTTATACTGACCATGTACAGACTTTTCCTCATTATAATTCCCTGAACAATAACAGCATAAAAACTGTTTACATAGCATTTACATTGTATTAGGTATTATGAGTAATCTAAAGTACATGGGAGGATGTGTACTGGTTATTTGGAGTGGGGCATCAGCGAAATTGGGTCTCCAGGGTCCTAGAACCAGTTCTCCCCGGAAGGACAACTATATTTGACTGTTCTTGGACCAGAATATAATTAAATTTATGTTTGTTTGACCTAAACCAAGAGCCCATATTTTTCAATAGGGAAATTTAACTTTGTGGTATTTGGTGCCAAATTGATTATGTAATTTTGCATTCTCATTACATTTTGTATGTGCATTTTTTTTTAATGCTTTCTTTTGTCTCTTTCATTCAGTGCTGTATCTCAATTGCCTAGAACAGTGCCTGGTAAAGAATAGGAACCCAATAAATGCTTCTTAAATTAAGGGGTATATGAATTTAGTATAAGATAAAGGCAACCATTGAAATACACAAGGAGAGGATAAGTGATGTTGAGTCACTTGGTAGCCATCCAGAAAATAAACAAATAGAGGCTTTTATCTTCTATCATGCCCAAAATCAAATTTCAGATGAATTAGAGACTCAATCTCTAAAACAAACTAAACAAATATAATAAAAAATACAGGAAGATATAACAGTGGAGTAGACAAGATTCTCTTAAGATACCAAATGCAAAAGCCACAAAAAGATTGATTTATCCATTGATATCCAAATTTTAAATTCTGTAAGACAAAAGATGTTATAAACCAAGTCAAACAAAATAATAGACAAGGAGAAATGCTTGCAACATATAACAAATAATAATCAGAATAAATAATAAGCTCTCATAAATCTGAAAGAAAAGTTAAACAGATCAGTACAAAAGCAAGCAAAAGATATGAATTGGCAACTCACAGAGGGGAAGATGGCCAAAAATAACATCAAAACATTTTGATCATTAGGGTCATGAAAACTAAAATAACAACCAGAGAATTTTCCCTCATTTGGTTAGGGAAAATCAGGTGGTGAGTGGCTAGATGCAGGGGAGGTGGGGAGAAGTTCATATATAGCAAGGTCACACCCAAAAGCAGTTGGGCAGAATCCAGTAAAATAAAAAACACACATGCCCTTTGACACAGCAGTTCCACTCCTCGGTATTTACCCTTCAAGAGTTACTCTGATTGGTGCAAAAAGGGGCAGATATAAAAATACTTTTATCATCTTTATAAGATCAAGTAATTATAAAGACCTTTGTTATCTTTCTGTAGAGGAGCAATATAAAATTAATCAAGACACCCCATAACAAGGGTTCTTAACACGACTGTGCTATGAAACCTGACTGGCAGTCTGGCCAAACCCACGGATTCCTTCTCAGACGTGTGCTTTCAGTCCATAAAATAAGAGACACCGAATTACAAAGGGAGCTAATTAATACAATTATGCAACACTTAAAATATCTGATGTAGTGATAGATGTATACTTTTATTAATGTATTTAATATCAGGATCTAGAGGCAGCTCTATTAACTGCTGAATTTTGAAGATGAATATAAATATTTTGAGATAACTACAATAACCAGTCTGATATAAAAGTATCTGATTTCTATTGGTGACAAGGCACTAATTTTATTGTCATTCGTTGCCCTATTGTATTAAGTTTTCTTACTGCTGCTGTAACTTATGTTTTCAGAGGTTACAAGTCTAAAATCAGTATCAAAGTATTAAACTGTAGTGTTTGTGGGACTATGTTCTTTTTGTTCCCTTTATTGTTTCTCTCACTTTCTAGAGGTCGCCTATATTCCTTGGCTTGTGGCCTTGAATCACTCTGACCTCTGCTTCCCCTGTCACATCTCCTTCTTGGACTCTGGCTCTCCTTTCCTCTAAAAGGGCTCTTGTGATGACACTGGGCCCACTAGGACAATCCAGGATAATCTCCTCATCTCAAGGTCTTTTATTAAAAACCTCTATAAAGTCTCTTTCATTTTACTAGGTCATTTTTCCCAGATTCTAGGAACAGGATATGGATGTCACTGGAGGCTGGCTCTCTGCTAAGTACTGCTACATTTCCCTTGAATGCCACCCATGAACTCTAGACCTATGGTATCAATATCTAAAACAAATTTTTGTCCAGGAAGGTAGGATGGAGTTACACTCTTTTCAGTGAGCCCTAAATGTGTCTATTCCTCTCTGGCTGTTACCTATGCCAAGCTTTGAGGTGGGGGAGGGGAGAGGGGGAGAGGAAGAGAGAGAATTAGAATGAATGAAGGAATAAAGGAAGAAAAGGAAATATATCTCTGCAAATTTAAAAGGGCAAAACATGTTTAACCAAGAATTTGACCTTATTGAGATATTATATGTTTTTTTTTTAATACTTGGAATTGAACCCAAAGCCTTTGCACTGAGGTATAGCCCAGTCCCCCGCTCCATTTTTTTTTTTTCAATTTTGAGTCAGAATCTTGCTAAGTTGCAAAATTGCCCAGACTGGGCTCCACTTAAACTTTGGATCATCCTGTTCAGTCCCCCCAGAATGCTGGGATGGCAGGTGTGTGCCACCACACCCAAATTATACTACCTTTTAATCTCAAAATTTGTTTGGAATGTTAAGTGTTTATGACTCTGGAGAGCAGGATGGCAAACTTTATGTAAATGGCCAGATGATACACGCTTTGTGCATTTCAGGCTATCTGGTTTCTGTTCCAGCTGTTCAGTTCTGCCATTGTAGTGTGAAAGAGCCATAGAAAATATTTGTTCATACAAATGAGTGTGGCTGTGTCCCAACAGAGCTTTATTTACAAAAGCAGGTGGTGAGCCTGATTTGGAGTACAAGCCATAGATGGCCAAACCTAAGTTCAGAGCAGCACTTTATATTAGAAACAATGCAAGACGCATACGTAATTTAAAATTTTCTAGTATCCACGCTGAAAAAGTGAAATGAAACAGATGAAATTAATATATACGATTAGATTCAACATATTCAAAGTATCGTTTTAGCATGTAATCAACATAAAAATTATTGAGCTATTTTATGGACTTTATTTGGTGATGTGCAGTCACAATCTGGTGCACGATTTCCACTTTCTGCACATCTCAGCTCAGACCCTCACACTGCACATGCTCATTAGTCCTGCCTGGATAGTGGCTACTATGTTGGGCAGACCAGTTCTTGAGCATAAGAACTGATTCTGCTTTTTCTTTGCAGGAATCAATTTTTTCTGTTAAAAATTAGATTTATGGCTGGATAGAATACATGCTTAACATGTGTGAAACCGTGGGTTTGATCCCCAGTGCATGCACACACATGCACACACATGCACACACGCACATACACACACAGAAAAAGAAAGAAGGTAAAAAGAAGTTAAGGCTGCAGTTCAAAACTCACACACTCTCATTGGCTGGAGTTATTAACATGGTCAATTCAGAGTCAACTGGGTGGAGTTTTAATCATTTTACCTTTTAACATTTGTTTTAAAGGGACAATTTAAAAACCACTGTAATACACTACTACAGACCCATTGGAGTGACTAAAATTAAGAGAAAAAATGATAGTGCTACCATATGCTGGTGAGCGTGCAGAAGAACTGGAACGCTTATATGATGCTGGTGGGAATGCAAAGTGGAGTAGCCCCTTGGGAACAGAGTGCAGCAGACATTTATAGAGTTAAATACACATCTATTATATGATCTAGCAATTCTACTGCTAGCTATTTGCTCAAGAGAAACGAAAACTTATTTTGGGTGAAAGAAGAGAGTTTCAAAAGGCCACATACAATTTCACCCCATTTATATCACATTCTAGAAAAGGAAAGACCATAGGACAGAGAACAGATGAATCAATTAAAAAAATGATAAAAAATGAAATCTGAGGTCTTTCTAAAAATGCCTTTAGTTTCCTTTAGTAAATTGTTTTCAGGCAAGGTTCTTCTTAGTATAGAGTTATGCAACCATTGTTTTATATTTCAGTATAAGTCATAGCCTGTGTTGAATTTTTCTCCTCTGCAGTTT